GTGTTCCAAAACTACACTGTCTAGGGACTAAGGGACCGAGTGGTTCATTGTATCATCAATATTTTCTCCAATGGTGACGGACTCGTCTCAGCCTTTCGACTTTGTTAGTTCATCGAGTTTTGCTTACCAAAATTGATTTAGAAGTCTGTAACTTTTTCTTGAATGTAGGCTTAATCTATTTGGAAGACCGGTTTTTGTTTTTAGTTTTTTTTTTGGAAAATTACTTTGGTGGAGTACTTATTTTAGGTGTTCCCCCAGGCGACGTTTTAGGTTATTTATTTAATTAGGTCTTTGCTTATGCATAGTATAATCCGCGGAGAACCTAACGGATTACCGGGGCTCCGGCTCGAAGTGCATGAGTAGGAACGGGGTGGCTTAAGTCAATAAGAGTCTGACACTACCTCCCGTCTCACTCAGGCGGGAGAAGTCATTCGATGATTTTCCCCCTTAAAAAAATGCATAGTATAATAAAATAAAGAATCACTACTTGTTTAGTACGTATAATTATGTCAAATATTTCCTACAATCAGTATTTAATTCCAAATGATCATTCATAAACAATTCTCTTTCCTCATTTGCCATATTATTGGTTTTCCTCTATTATTAATTAATCTGTTAATTGTAGAATGTCTGGCCGCTACTTTTTCCTTCTTAATCAGGATTTCCATTACAGATTCAACATCAAAGCTTCATCTACTTAATTTGAAAATAAAAATTGGAAGGTATTGTGAAAAAATCTCTTTATTGACGTCTATCGTGGTGTGCAAAGTCATTATCTTGGGACCCCAAATAACTTTGTCACGTTTCTCGTTAAAAATGCAGAGTGCGGCGGCCCATCGGCCTTTTATTTGTCGTAGGGTTGTTCGCAAGGAGTTGTGGTCACGTATTATTTTGATACAAATTTTAAATTATTATTATTATTCAACATAACATAACATCACGCCTTTTATCCTCAAAGGGGTAGGCAGAGGTGCACATTATACCACTGTACAATGTAACACCCACTTTTCACTATTTATGTTATGAGTCCCATGTAATAGGGGGTGAGCCTATTGCCATATACCGGGCACAGTTCCAGACTCCGTGCTACTACTGAGATTTTTTTAAAAACCCAGTAATACTTTGCCCGACCCGGGAATCGAACCCGAGACCCCTTGCTCGGCAGTCGCAATTGCGACCACATATTATTATTCAATTTTCAACTTTCTTTCTTGACTATGTTACAGTCAGGATCTTTAAGAAAATCCGACTAGATATGGGTTCCTTACTTGAAATAACCTAGGTATAGCAACTCTCGTAGATATAAACGTTACGACCAATAGTATATGTCAATAACAACAACTAACCTATTTAGAAACAATCGAGCCATTAAAGGTTCTAATTCCTGAGAGAATAAATACTCCTAAACACATGTATTGTGTGTTTAGTATACAGTACATTATCCGCGATTACCTACTGGTTTCGGTTGAATGACTTTATGACGTCACTAGTGCGGTTCAATGAATTCTGTTCTATATCACCTGATTGTAAAAGTTTACAGCGTCAGGAAATAGCAGCTTTCGAAAAATATTGCATGATAAGTCAAGATTACTTTGAAATTTTAGTGCGGATATAGAATTTCCATATGAATGGCTCATATGTGGATGGATGGCTTTTACCATACTAATCTATGTAATACTAGCAAACTCGGCGAAGTCCGTTTCGCCACCAGATGGCTTCGTTTTATGTAACTTTTTAGTTAAGGATTACTGAATTTTCTTTACTATAAACCTCACGGAGCTGGAGACCTTTCCAACGAATGCAAAACCGTGGAAATCGGTTCGTGCGTTCGGGAGTTATAGCGTCAGGAAGGAAAACCCGACTTATTTTTATATAGTAGATACATAGAAAACAAACACCATGATGAGGAAAATAATGATGTTTTTCAAAATCATCTTCTTCAACAATTCCTTTGACGTGATACCCCTAAGTGATGGATCTCATTAAATCGTGCCGCGCCATCGATCCTGTTATGTATTGTTCCCATGTCTGACGAGCCACCTCAAGTGTACCCAACGCGGCCCAGAACTCACGCACGCACAACCCTACCCCACTGAACATAATTGAATAATTTTTCTCTGTAAAATATTGGGTTATATCAAGGGTCCCGGTATAACATGTCCTGAAAAGGGATTTTCAGTTGTTTTTAAATTGCTTTTAATCAACTTAGGCCGCTGGTTGTATTTAATGGGTCAAATCTTTGGAATTTGACAAAATATATTTAAGTAAAGTATTTTAATTAAGTTTTTTAGTAATAAGAAGCTAAAACGTTCCCCTTAACATAGTTTTTATTTAAACATGTTAAATAATATGTTAAAATTAAACATGTAATAATAAAATTAATTACTTAGGAAGAGTACTAACTACGAAAAGAACTTAATTATCCATAACATGTTTTATATGAAGTCATCGAGTTCTTTAATTTATAATCTTAAAGGAACTAATCGGGTTTCAGCAGACTGTATATAAATGTAACGTTATTAAATGAGGTTGCGGGACTTTCTGACAGCTCATTATGGATCGCTCCGAAAGAACGAACGAAATCGTTCACTCGTTCACTCAGAATGAACTAGTTCACTTAGGATCTTATCGAACACGGCACAGGTGTTATGAAATTGTTTATGGATTATAAAAATGTATGTAGGTTCAGGTTGCTATGGAAGCAGACGTAGTTTTCCCGAAAAAAGTAGAGTGGACCTATTTCAACTTATCTTGAAATACTTATTTTTTACTTTCGCAAAGTATTTTTACGGCTCTCGCCATCGGCTCACGCGACAGCAGTTCCATCTACTTTACATAAATGGTTGGTCTTAAACTGTGCGTTTTTTGCTAATCTTCCTGCATCGAACTGTTAAACTGGAATGAACTAACGGTCTTCTATTATCAATAAGAGAAAAAAGTAGGCTGCGTGACATCGTCGCGACTGCGTACGCTACTCATGAGGAAGAGTCCCTCTGTGACTCGAAACTAATAGAGCTTTTCTCAGTATACTTCTGTAAGTAACTCGTACTTTTTAGCCAATTCTGCATGTCTCACGATATACATCGTTTTTATAAAAACAAAGAAAAAACTGTTAGGTACTACCTTTTAGCCGATGCGGCAATTAAACGCGCGATGCTTTATCGCGCACCATACAATCACAGTCAGATACGTAGGTACGTACTAAATCATTAAGCATAAAATTATTAAGTTTGTTAATTCCAATTATTTAGGTATAGTGATTAGTAGGTACATGCAATAAACATTTTGAAGAGGAAAGTGGGACTATAATATTATCTAATTTCGATAAAATAATAACAAAAACAAAGTTGGTTTCTGTCTGTCTGTCTGTCCGTAGTCCCTATTTCAGATAATTATCTGCCCTAAACACGAATTATGCAAAAAATATAATAACTGACATTTTTATGTTACATAATTATTATTACACACTGACTGACTGCCTCGTTGGCCGAGTGATCGCATGTACGACCGCCAAAGCAAGGGGTCTCGGGTTTGATACCCGAGTAGGGCAAAGTATTACTGGTTTTTAAAAAATTCTCAGTAGTAGCACGGAGCCTGGAATTGTGCATATTGCAATAGGCTCACCCATTACATGGGACTTATAAATAATGTAACGTGGGTGTTACATTGCATAGTGGCATTAAGTGCCGTAATGTGCACCTGTGCCTACCACTTTGGGGATAAAAGGCGTGATGTTATGTTGTATTATGTTATAATTATTATTTCAGATTTTTATATCTAGAGATACAGCTCCATTTCAGCTCGCAGCCGCGGGTGACATGTTTATGAAATACTCATAACTTAATAAAATACAAGGAATATTATTTACATAATCAAGAACAACAAAATACATTTTAATTAATAATTAATATTGTCCCATGGAATTTCCATTTTAATAAATAAGACAATTAAAAACCTAATATACGCTTATTATGTGATATTTAGGTATAGTTTTGGTTTTGTTTTTTCCGTGTATTTAACAACAGACAGGAAAAACGAAATAATTTAACACAAATAATGCAATTAATTTTCAGGCCTCGTTGGCCGAGTGGTCGCAAGTGCGACTGCCAACCCAGGCTGGGGAAGGGGTATCGGGTTCGATTATCGGGTCAGGGAAAGGATTACTGGGCTTTTAAAAATTCACAGTAAGTAGTAGCACGGAGTCTAGAAATATGCCCGGTATTATGGCAATAGGCTCACCCCCTATTACATGGGACTCATATCATAAATAGTGAAAAGTGGGTGTTATATTGTACAGTGGCGTTATGTGCCGTAATATGCTTCTCTGCCTATCCCTTCGGGGGTAAAAAGCATGATGTTATGTTTTACCCGACGATATTTTTTGATCGCTATGTAGGGTAAGTGCGATATTTGTCCAAAAACTGGTTACATACTTAACTAAAAAAAACCGACTTCAAAAAACCAAAAACTAATAACAAACAAAAAGTCAAAACTAAAAAGGTCCCCTCGGTTTCCCTAGGATCCCATCATCAGATCCTGACCTCATGAAAATGGGACTATCTCAGAAGTATACCCTTTCAAACAAAACAAGAATTTTGGAAATCGGTTCATAAATGGCGGTGACGGTGCGAACAAATAAAAAAAAAACAATCAGCCGAACATAGTACCTCCTCCTTTTTTTGAAGTCGGTAAAAACGGTTATTCACATTTATTTATTAATTTTGCTGCCGATTATAGGCCTTCTCGCTCATCAGCCTAAAAATTATCCACTACTGAGCGAAGGCCTCTTCTCACACGCAGAAGTGATCAATAATCTCTAAAGCAAAAAATCTTAGAAAGTACATACTTAAGTATAACTTGTTTAAAATTTCACATTTCGAACCCGCACCTTCATACTAAAAGTTGGCGTAATACCTTCGAGCATTGATCTTCAAGACCATGAGTTTTTATAAGGAAAATGTAAGTCTAAATAAAATTATTAGCGAATACAGGCATTACGCGTATTGATAACAATTGAGTATAAAAGTACCGACGTACATTTGAAGTCATTGCATTATAGTTCAACCAGTCGAATCCAACGGGTGCCAGAAACTATATCCGATTATCCGGTATTATATAAACCGTCGTTTGTTTTAAAACAAAGAAGTAACTCCGAAAGAAAGATGACTACAATTGTAAATCCGGTGAGTTTTTAATGTTTTTTGACTGCACGGTTGGTGCGGTGGCTGGGCAACCGGCTGCCGTGCAACGTGTCGCGGGTTCGATTCCCGCACGGACAGTGGCGTGCACACCATACATGCAAATAAGCAGTGCATACCCTACAAAATCATGGTAAACCTACATAGTCTATTACATAGTGTCACTCATATACACGACATGAATATTTACTAACATCATACAGAGATTTCGTAATTTTATTGATACTTAATTCGGAAAACTGGTAACTAACGCCATCTATTGAAAAAATATTGAAGTACTACACCCACTTTCTACTTTCTTCGATATTGGAGCATTGCGCCAGTGGCGCCGCCACCTCGCTATTGTGTGATGGTGGCGGAAGCATGTACTAATGCTAGCCGGTACAATTTGCTTGTTTTCTCGTGCTGATGTTGGATTTTTTTTTTTGTTAGGTTGGTAATTTTTATACAACTGCAAAAGCACTGCTTCTTCGTTATCCGACTAATTTAAGAAGTCAACAAAACGTAGCGTTTGTTGACTGAAAATAGATATATTAATTTTGTTCAACTTATTGTTTACGTTTTTTTGGCCATTTTGTTTTGGTTATGTTTTTATGTGCAAGTGAATAAATTGTAATGTAATGAATTATAATTTAAATGAACTGTTAATTTACCGAAAATTATGTAAAATTATAGCTGTGAGCTCAGTGCTGGTGATTTGTGTTGTTCAATAAATTCAATATGAGTGCGTTGTCGTTATTGTCGTTTGAAGAAGAAACGAAAATATTTCCAAAGGCGATTTTGCGTGTGTCGTATGTCCGGGCTAGGCGTAACTCAAAAAAGGTAATAATTTTATTATTTCTTTTAATAAACTACGATTTGCGATTATAGGTATAGTTTGTTAGCACTGGTTATCTACCAATTTAATTATTGTTTTTAACATCCAGTCTATCTTGATCTCGCTTTGTACGATTTCTCTATGCATTTAACGGTCAGTTATACTGGTGTCGCATAGCTTGATGTGTAGCCATTTGTACTTCGCCGCTCCAAAGTAGGTACCTAGTAGATTTATAAAATAGATACCGATAGATCTATGTTGATCAACTTTATACACGGATAGTTTTAAAATAATTATGTACCTAATTTGTTTATACAAATTAATAAAATACTTACTAAACCTATTTACCTACTCAAAACTATGATGTTTCGGGAGTTTTATTTTCCGAGATTAATGTACCTAGACCAAATTTTTTTTAACCATGTGATACCTTCTGCCTACCCTACTTCAAATCTCTGTGCACGCCCCTGCGCACGGAACAACTTTGTATGATCCACAAATTGTTGATCCGGGTCTGGGTGTCATGTGTATGTGAACTTGTATGTTTGTAAACGCACCCACGACATAGGAGAAAATCCTAGTGTGGGGCAACGTTCTATAAAAAAAAATGTAAGAGATTATGGCAAACCCCTAATTTTTAGAGGATTCCAGCATTGGACTGTCAGATACTATTCATTTGTTAGAATCCACTGAATACATTAGCCTTTTTTATTTCCAGCAAGTACCGTTCACACGCCCCATTCCTGGGGGTTTAGCACCCGGCCGTACTATGACTGTCGAGGGTGCCATCCCTCCCCGATCAGACAGGTGAGTTCATATCTATATTATCCTTTGTGTAGAGAGATAATAAATAAATTTATTATTTATTATTATTATTATATCTATATCTTTATAATCTAACATATACCTAATTACACAGTTTCACACTCTTAGTGACTAAAAATCACCCCGTTCCAACTTCTGCTCCATATCGAGACCTTGGTATATCGTGATCTTATCCGCAATCCCAGACAAGCATCAATCCTAGACGGACCCGGGTATTTTTTTTATTGCATTATCCGGTAAACAAGCCGACGGATCACCTGATGGTAAGCAATCGGCGCCGCCCATGATCACCCGAAACACCAAGGCGTTACAAGTGCGTTACCGGCCTTTTGGGAATTGGGAATTTGAGAATTGTGGAAGATTCGGGGATTCGGGAGACTAGGGAGGAGGGTAATTGGACCTCCGGTAACCTCACTCACACTACGAAACACAACGCAAGCGTTGCTTCACGTCGGTTTTCTGTGAGGCCGTGGTATTCGGCCTATTCGTACCGAAACATGGCTCTCCCACACTTAGTATGATATGGAGTAGGGTATGGAGGTCCCGTGTATATTAATTAGAAGCGCGTGAAATGCGACGCATCGTACACTCGGATTGGTCTAATCAGGTGGCGAACTAGCCTTGCTCACCGTGGAACACAATAATTTCTACACCTACTACCAAAAATGTTACATAGTATTTTAATATAATACATTTATCCCCAGGTTCGCAATAAACTTGCAATGTGGTAGCGCGGACATCGCTTTTCACTTCAACCCTCGCTTCGGAGATCAGTGCATAGTTCGCAACTCCTATATTTCTGGCCATTGGGGTGCTGAGGAGACCAGTGGAGGCATGCCGTTGGTTAGGGGAGAACAGTTTGAAGCTGAATTTAAATGCTCTGAAGGTCATTTTACGGTAAGTAAAACAGTTGTCGGCAGGTCAACCGCTTCTATACCGATCGCAGTTTTTTTGTTTTTTAACTGGATTTTCAACAATCGTTATAAAATTCAAAATTGACTAAAAAGATTTGAAATAGAAAGGTTGACTTGTTGGCCTTTGTATGTATGTACATGGAATTCTTTGTTTTCAAATTAATATTGAATAAAACCAATCTTGAGTTTTCAACCGACCAAGGTACAAGCACCAAAGTTTTTCATACATTAAGTTCTCTATTGTTTTAAACTGATCACCTTAATAGTTATCAGTACTTCAGTACTAATTTCAATTAATTCTACTAGGTGAATTTGAACGGGAAACATTTTTGCGACTTCCCACACCGCATCCCATACCATAAGATCACCCACATCAACGTGGACGGTGATGTCAACATAAGGCAGGTTTCCTTTGCGGACGCCTAAGCCATCGGCCTATATGATAATGGTAAGCTACATTCTTTATACACTGTGACACAACGCTATGATATTGTCATTCTGCTGGACTGTGAGGCCGGGTACCATGCCGTTAGACCCGACACAGTCATGCAGAAGTATGGCGAGCCCAAGTGGGAATGAATATTGGCAATATAAATTATAAACTTTAACAATTTTCTTTTTTCTTTTTTCTTTCAGATCACTTTTACTAATGAAGAACTGCTGGAAACCTCAATTAATTATGCATTTTTTTTCTATAAATCGATTTTATAACTATTCGGTGTTTTATATTATAATAAACTATCCGTATTTTTAACTGCTTTTATTGTTTCATTACGTTTTATGCTTTTTCTGTAACGGAACGGGCCATAGACAAATTCATGTTCTGTGGATGGCACGCTAAAATGCCGTATTGACCAGTTTTCTTTTTAAGCTAAATTTTACCTTAACCTTTCCAATACTTGAGTTCAAAATAGGTGACCCACCGCTATACATATACACCGACTAGACAGACATAATATATAATTATATAGAAAGTTACGTACCTTTTTGATAAATTAAATTCTGATCGGAATTTTAGGTTTAACGAGAAATTTCAATATCGAAGTCTTAAAATACAAGTGTGTAACTGCTCGAATAGGTATTATTAAAACTATTTGCAATAGATGGTTAGTTAATTGTAATTCCAATTCAATTTTTTACAATTTTAATTGCAATATTATGAGAATTAGATTTTAATTTGGGAACAGGTATATACAATCGTTGCTGGAAGAAGCCTACGTGTCACAGGATACGCTGATTACGAATTAGGATAACTGATGTGTTTGTTCATAAGCTAGATTAATGTTACTGAATAAATAGTTTTCAGTAATAAAGGCTTATTATCATTATTAAACATACAATCGTATGATTTGGCGTTATATTGCCTCTGCCTATTCCAATGAGAGACAGACGTGACGCTATGTATATAAGAGTACCTTCGAGGGCGTAGGTTTTTCATGCGGGCAAAGCCGCTAAAAGCTACTTGACTACAATAAAAGTAATTACGAAATACAAGATTCAAAGAATTTTAAAGTCAATTCATTGAACTTTTCAACACGGAAATGTTATCCAATCATCTTGTCAGGGCAAAGTTCAAATTCCCTAGAGTTGTACCTTACCTGTTGGCGATATTGATTGTTTGAACCGGTGCCGTTTATAACTGTCAGCTGAACTGGCATGAGCCACTTGTCAGTCAACCGGACAGCTTCGAGGAATTATCGTCATGTTCTCTGCCATTATTTTTTAATTTGACTGCACAGTTGGTGTGGTGGCTGGGCAACCGGCTGCCGTGCAACGTGTCGCGGGTTCGATTCCCGCACGGGACAACACTTCGTGTGATCCACAAAATGTTGTTTCAGGTCTGTGTGTCATTGTGTATGTGAACTTGTATGTTTGTAAACGCACCCACGATACAGGAGACAATCTTAGCGTGGAGCAACGTTTTTATAAAAGAAAGACAGAAAGAAAAAATTAATATGTTAAGTTAAACTTTATATTTTTACTTAAATTTTTATTTTTACTGGAGAATTGTTAGGAAAGTTAAAGTTACAGATACTTGCGTTGTAATGCGCCGTGTGAACAAAGTTATCGGATACCCAATATCTCCCTCTCCAATCTCCCCAATACCCCACTCTCAAATCTCTAACCCGCAAAAGGTTGGCAACGAAATTGTAACTCCTCAGGTGTTATGGGTGTCTATAAATGACACTGTGCCGATTAATTACCACCAGGTGATCCTTCAGCTCATTTTTCGACCTATTTCATTAAAAGCTAAAAGCTAGTGCTTTACGTTAGGTGGTCCCCTTGATTGCCTTAATCTCATGGAATTTATGTAATATCCTAGCACTCAAAGTCATCTTACCATTAAAATACAAAGTCTACTTTAACACCGATGAAAATTTGAATTGCTTTTTTTGCCTAGTGGCTTTAAAAACATAACATCACGCCTTTTATCCCCGAAGGGGTAGGCAGAGGTGTACATTACGGCACTTAATGCCACTGTACAATGTAACACCCACTTTTCACTATTTATGTCATGGGTCCCATGCAATAGGGGGTGAGCCTATTGCCATATACCGGGCACAATTCTGAGATTTTTTTGAAAAAGCCCAGTAATATTTTGCCCGACCCGGGAATCGAACCCGAGACCCCTTGCTCGGCAGTCGCAATTGCGACCACTCGGCCAACGAGGCAGTCAGTCGGCAGTCGTGGCTTTAAATTAGAACTAAAATTGGGGACTACAAATTGGAAATTATAGTCTAAGATGCAAATGCTTACCTAATTTCAATACCTACTTCAATGTCCCAATTTTAATCGTGAGCCTCGTGAAAATAACACTATTTATGTTCGTCAGATAACAAATAAGTTCACCAGAACACATTTTTTTTTACCCACCAGCGCGCGCAAGTTTTTTTTCTATTCAATATAAGTAATGGTAAAACAAATACTTGATATGTCATGCTTGGGTTATAGTTTACCTATATTTAAAATTGTTTGTACAATGAGCGTCTCTCGCCATCAAACGTCAAAGTTTGGCGAGTTTATATTTAAGGCCATACCTATGTAAAATTGCAATAAATAAATTTGTTAAAAAAATGGAAACAAATTCCTAGAACACCGAGTTAGAACAATTTTACGAAAACAAAATAAAATCTAGAATTTCGCTGCACATTTAAAAACACGCTCAGCGAACATAAAAACGAAATCCCTGAACACACATGTAGCTACACATTTGACATTTTTTTCTAAACATTATTCAGGGGAATGTTCAAAAGAAGCTGACATATAAATCCTGGGGCTTGGGTAAACATAATCCAGTAGGCCACGCTTAGTTGAGCGGACGGGAGCCAGTGACGATGAGATGTCGCCAAACATTTCGACAGACAAGGGACGCTGAACCAACGCGAATACAGAATGATTCTATTATTAGATCATTGCCAGGATTATTGTTCTGGGTTTTTGTTTAGGAAGCTACTTTTTTGTGTAAACATTTATACGGAACACAGAATTTTTGAGGTCTTCTAAATAGATGATCTTGCGGTCAATGATTTTCGTTCTAGTCAACATAAACTTATTTACGAAAAGACCCTTTGTTTTTTTATTTATAAACAGATTTTCACCCGAAACTGGGAATAGAAATGGTCTTTCTGTGATGACAATTTTACACTACGCGTCGAACTTGGAATCAATAAACGACACACTTACTTTAAACCTACGTTAAGCAATAATATGAAAGAAAATAGCAATGTTTTGATAAATAAATACTGTAAAGTATTTTATGATGAGCGGTAACTCACGATTGAATAAACCTATCCTCGCCAAGTAGTTAATTTCAGGTGAAACATAATTATATTTTGTAGGTGTCGACGTAACCTCTTTAATAAAATATTTTACATTAATAATAATTTATTAAAAGACTTAAGGATTTGAAAAACCTACCGGAAAGTTAAAATACATGTCAAAAATCGATATCAATCCATTTTTATTTTAACTCGTCGAGTACCGGTTTTATAGACACAATTAAAGAACAATAGGTCGCGGTGACCGGTGACCGCTTGGTGTTTGACAGATTAATATATATCGACTATTAATTGTACCGTTAATAAATGAACGATTAAGCACGATATCGAAATAATAACATCCCTATAAAGGAAGATATCCAAAACTATTTAAACTTGTCTAATATCTTGTTTGGAGTTTGTAATAACTTGTCTAATTTACCGCGAGTTTTGTTAATCACAGCGTTAATTAACATCTTGAGGGGTATCGTTTATGTTTATGAAAACCGACACAATATTTTGATAGATTGGAAAATGTATAGCATCAATTTAGATACGGATATTTTACAATTTTGACGGATAAATTTAATAATTTGCAAGTTACCAATGTACATTGGTAAATTAAGTAAAAGGTACCTTAAAGTCACAATAATTGGTGCTCTAAAGTCTATAAGACCTAACATAACTCTACTAGTCTACCAGACTAATCTAAGGTTTACAAAATCATTTCATTTCATCTTTTGATTACAAAAACATTGTCTGTTTCTCTCTAGGTAGGATTTTTTGGCACAAGCCCGCCACAATCACACTAAATCGTTGGAAATACTGTAAGCCAGGATAAATTCTGTAAACAGTAAATTAATACTGTAAACAGTAGATACAACCATGAGAACACCGGAACACTGAAGTCCGGCGAGTCCCAGGGACATAAATAACTGTCTTGGATCCCGCAACGAAATATATCAGAAGGTATTGTAAGAGGAGAAGAAAAAAGACTAATAAATATGAAATACTTTACGATTTTGCGAGTCATCCCTGCCCAGGGGCTATGCTAATCTTCTCTGTATCTTTCCTCTCCCCATAGGATAGATGACTAATTTTTATTTTAATGTCCGTCTGGTAGACTATTTTAAAACATTACACGCGTATTTTTTATTATTTTACAGAAACGAATACTTTCGACGATATATTGATTTGAAATGTCACGTGACGTCACTTCTATGTACATTTTATACGTAGAAATGACGTTTTAGCCCCCACTCCTAAACTTTGATTCGTTATATCTAAGTATAATATTATTATACATCAAAATAAAAAAATACGTGTCTAATATTTTTTCATAACCTAACTGACTTAGACTAATTAGATTTTTAATTTTCATACCCTGTCATCATGCCTATTGTAGTATATATATACTTCCGAAAGAAGTACAATGTAGGTATGCTTACCCGCTTTTCTCCTGATGTCTCTTCTATTAAATGAGGAACAGAGCATAATTCCGGCCTCCATATTTAGTTCAAATATGTAAATCGACACTCTATTTCAATAAAACTTTACGCAATACACGGACCAAACTCTGAACGGAGATCAGATCAGTAAAGGATATTGCGTGAAACTAAATCATATCAGGAGGAAAGTATACTATCTAGTACTATCTCCCATTATTCTTTCATCATTATCATCATACACAATGA